TCATTTCCGTTGCACCATTTCTGTTGCATCACTTCCGTTGCATCATTTCCGTCCCAACCAGATCTGTGTGCAATTTCCGCTTAATTTGCCAATTTACTCCCAACCAACCAACCGCCGCTAAAGAATTTCACTTAAAAAAAAAAATTATTTTCATTCCTTTAAAAACATTAGGCCCGTAGATATAGTCAAAATAAAGTCTACTCTAAAGTTAAAAGAAGCTTTTTGAAATAACTTTCAATGAAATATCTGTCAGAAAAGCTGTTTTGAACTTTAGAATCGACTTTATTTTCACTTTAAACACAGGCCATAAATTTTGAGCCTTTTAAAAACTGGAAAAACGACATTTATACAAGGCATGCCGTTTTCAAATTGGCTAAATCGAAAATCGATTAATCGAGCCCTACGATCCAAAAAATCGAGAAACGATAATCGTTTTTTCTCATTTGATGCATGTAACATTGCACTAGTAAATCTTTAAAACAATTTATTTAAATTTGCTAGTACAAAAAATGAAGGGATCAACCAAGATTGATAGATAAATAGGTTGTTTTATCAATCTTGTAGTTGTTTTTTAGCCCATTCAATTTTAGTATAATGTTCAGGTTTGAAAATGCTGAAAAATCCCGTTGAGTTTTGAGATTTTGTTTTGTCAAGGGTGCAGCGCATTTTCTCCCCATGAACAAAATCTATTTTTACCCAATGAATTTCTAAAAAATCTTAAAATAAAGTTTGACTTGTATGGTTTATGCTATAGAATCTATTATATTTTTATAAAAACGAAAAAATGTATCAAGTAAAACTTGTGAATATTATAAAATTAAAAGGGTGCTATATAGGTGAGCGCCGCTGTACATATGTATATCTTTTTTGGGTAATTTACATAGAATGTGGACATTAAGGTTTGGTTAATTAAAAACTCAACACAAATTTTTCGAATAAACAATTTATGGTCACCGATTTGAATTCGCCAAACGATGTTTAGTATTTGTACTTCGTTGCAGTTTATTTTCGATATCAAAGTCCCTAGTATTTTCGCTGGAAAGAAGCAAGCAAAGTTAAGTAGTCAAAAGGGTGGGGGGCAGACACCAGAAAACTCCTAAAATACGCCACTATCCCTAAACTAATAGTTTAGTCTGGTTTAGACCCGCTCCTTTAGGTGGTATGGAGTTTTACTCTGCTTCTACTCTAACCTGATTGGGACCGTTAATTCCTATTACGTCGTATATGTGCATATGTACATCTAAAATTCAGTATCTCGATATATTTTTCCAAGAGGGTTAATTCAACATTAAAATGAAGAAGAGGTACTAATGTACTATAGCAAAAGTAGTTAACTTTGCAATTGTTAAGCAGTCAGATTATAAATTGTTTGCGCATTTTACTGTCAACGATAGCATTTTACCAGGAATTGAAAAATGCCAAGTTAGAGACAAACGATTTTTGTTATCATAGCAGTATCTAAATGAGTACATATACTTATAGCCCACTCACGGCGATTAGAATACAACAACGGCGACAGCGCATATAAAAGCTTTGTCATTTACCGAAGCAACAAAATTCTTGGAAGCCACTGGAAATCAAATGGATGTATTCCCAACTAGAATGAGAATTTAACTGAAAAAATTCAAAGCTATTTATTTATTGGTTTTTAATATTCCATAAAGCTATAACTGGCCACAAACTTTTTAATCATGAAGGCAAGAAACATTTAATACGACTTTACCACGGTTATAGACTATACCAAATACCCGATAATATGTGCGAAGAGGTTTAATGTTTATAAGTATATTTCACTACTAGGTGGAAGTTCGGCAAGATTTTATGAACTGCACATTTTATGATAATTTGGGTGTTTCAGAGCATCTAGCGTCTTAAATATCGATATTTCATTATCACAAGCAATGTCAGAACACAGCAATGCAGAGCACCGTTCAAGTGATACCTCGCAATGGAATTTTCATTAACGCATTATTCTTTCCTTCCATTGCTAAACACAAACTTAAAACAAAGAAGCTATAAAATTGCTCAGCTAATTTGCCACGTGTGCGCCATTAGCCAACAGAAGTTGACTTTGCTGCTAAAGCTACTTAATTCACATAAATTTCCAGTTCCAAGTAATCACTTAGGTACATTCACAAATACAAAAATACATAGTCATAATGCGAATACATCTAAATCTACTGGTAATTAAAAATTCTATGAGTGGGCATTTTACAGAAAATTTTCTAATCAACAAAGTGTGATTCGAGTAGAAGCAACGTCAAATCTTCTCACTTCCTCACCTACTTACAAACAGCATTCCTGCGACCTTTAGTTAGTAACAATACTCTAAATTCATACTATTAATTTCATTCCATCAGCGCAAACAACAAACACTCGACCTACAGTGGTCCACAAAATAATAGGAGTGCGATATTTTGGTCAGTTTTTGCTATTTGTCTTTTGTTTATTTAATGTTTATTGTTTTTATACAAAAGTCAAGCTGGGTATACAACAAACAACGAATAAATTCATATTTCATTCTTTGTACAAAAATTATTAAAATTCTGTAAATTTTCACCAAAATATCAAACTTTTTAATCAGAATCTTCAGAGAAAATTCTGGTATGCAGTTTTATAGCCCATTCAATTCTAGTCTGAAGAAGTGCAAGTTTCAAGCTGCTAAAAAATTCCGTTGATTTTTGGCAATTTTTTTTTGCTGGCACTGTCCCCATATAAAAGAAAATTGTCGAACATACTTTGTATGGAAAAAACGTGTAACACCTTCAACCGAAAAAATTCTCAAAAATCAACGGCATTTTTTAGCAGCTTGAAACTTGCACTTCTTCAGACTAGAATTGAATGGGCTACAAAACTGCATACCAACATTTTTTCTAAAGATTCTGGTTAAATAGTTTGAAATTTTGGTGAAAATTTGCAGAATTTTTATAATTTTTGTACAAACTTGAAAATGTAAATTTATATGGTGTTTGTTGTATTACCAGCTAGGCTTTTACAAAAAAATACGAAACATTAAATAAACTAAAGACAAATAGGCAAAACAGGTTAAAATATCCCACTCCTATTATTTTGTGGACAACTGTATATATGGCATAACCGTTGTAAGCTGTCAAGGTCAACATAATTCAATTTACCAACCGACCAAAGTCAGCATATCACCAAAGCATGATCAGTTGCTGTTGACCGGCAAAAATGTGCTCCAATTTGTGCGGTCTATATTGCACCGTAATTGCGTAACAACAACAACATTAAGGGTCAGCGACAACAACTTCACCACTCAAAATCTTAAGCTGAAAATGTGCTTAGAGCGGCAAATGCGTTGGGTAACTAACTGACTGACACTATCAACAGCGTCAATGTGGTCGCTGCTCGGCTGCCGCTGTATGTTGCAGCTAATTGGCTGTTGGAAAGACCATTGTTAAGTAGAGCAAAGCAAGCAAGTTTATTACACTTTATTGAGGAGCGTGGAAACCCCCCGTGTATTGCGTTTGTGACCTTGAGTAGAGAGAGTTCAAGTTTTTTTCTTAAATTTAGTCTGCGGTTTTCTGTGTCTCCTTCAGAGTAATTCACATTTTTCTTACGAGACCCATATAGCTGACACTAATCGATTTCATAGGCAAGCAGACAATTGAAAAATAAATTATTGACTATTTTATGGAGGGAAAAATTACAATTTGTAAACAAAAGCTAAAAATCACGAACCCATTTCGAAATCTGGTGAAATGTATGAGATTTGCATAAATCTGTTCACAGATGTCCACGTCTTTGAGGCAAAGCTAGTTTTATGATCCAAGGATCCGATGACTTTGTTGCAAGTGCGTTGGGGCAAACTCAACGGATTAGCTTCTGAAGAGAGAAGTACCAAGTTCAAAATCAGTTACTCAAAATATTCAGTAAATTCCTTGTGCAATGGTTGCATTCACAACCTTCGTGATCTTCTCTCTACCCAACTGAGTATGCCCAATAGGATGGGACGAAAGAATTCATTTTTCGATTTCATATTCAAATGATTACATTGAACCATGTGGAAACGTTTTTCGAACGGATAATATTTATTTAATAAAGTTTCGAAAAATTTCAATTTAGGGTTCTCTACACTTTCTTTAAGATTTTCTAAAAAGATTTTGAGTATTCAGTTTTGTAGTCCATTAAATTTAAGTATATCAAAGTACAAGTTTTAAGTTGCTTAAAATATCGCTCTGATTTTCGACATTTTTTTCCTGAAAATGTCTTCCGCAGACAAAAAAAAAAATGTCGAACGGGTCGAAGCCGTTCAGAAAACGACTTAACACTGTTCTATGTAATCATGTTACGCAACTTTTTCGCACTATTTGAATATCGAAATCGAAAAATTTACTTTTTCGTTCCACCCTAATGCCCACTCGTTGATTAAAGAGTCCTTCAAAATGTAGGCTAGTAGCAATATACCTCCCTTACTAAAAGAACAAATTTTCTTAAAAGCTTGTCAGGTACACAACCGACTTCTTCCTAACAGATTTAGAAGTGAATGTCGTCTCTAGGCACAACCGTCTGTTCTCGCGAAAGCTATAGCCCTGAAATTAAGAGTTTCCCCAACCCATTGTATTCGATTAATCAAATTCTCTGCCAGCTTATTGATAGACTAATGGAGCTTACAATCTTCCATAGCTTTACTGATAATTTCGAACGACTTTTAATGAAAAAATGCGAAAGCCGGAGTGGTAATGAAGTTTAATGTCATTGGGATAGCTCTCTAAGTTTTAGAGCTTTAGCGATACGGGAATTCAACAGCAAAAAAACACGAACAAATATAATTATAGAGTATCCAGAATCTAGATCGACATAATTTATTCCTCCTTAAAAATGGCAATTTTGCTAGATCAAATCATAGCCCTTCACGGACGGGTACAGCTTATATTTAATGAAGCGAGGCTTATGAAAAACCTTAGATACAGACGATACTCTCTTAAGCTAGGAAATATACAAAATCTGAGAATTAAAGCAAATCGCATTCAACTTACCATTTCCGCAATGTTGTAGTTGTCTATAGGGAGCACAATTGGCTGCCTGGAAATAAATAAAAGCAAAAAAAAATATGATCAGTAAAGAGTTTGCAAATTAATTAAATAGGAATGTATGAAAGAGTGCAAAATCGGCTAAATATTTTGCCACACTAACCTTCACCCAATTTGTGCGCTTTCACACACATACATAAATACTGCCGCGAGCATATGTAGGTATGACCAACCATTGTACTTTGACGAAGATTAAACGCAAACAATATCATTGCATATTCAAAGGATCAACTATTCAAGCGACAATTTACCAACAAAGTTTTGAGTACTCTACTTGAGTATGTGTAGGCAAAGTAGTAGGAGGCATCTTTCGGGAGTTGACGAAAATCAGCTTGGGGCTCTATGAATTGTTACCGCGTTGAATGGCATACCAAATTGCTTAGTTACCTGCATAGTTAGTAGCAAAGGAATTTACCACATAGCAATAAATCAGCAGGTAAAGAAGAATATAGTTGACCTCGGAACTTTAACGTTCAAAACGTAAGAAATTGCTTGTGTGGGCAAATTATCAAACTTGAAAAAGATTGTAAGGTACATAAAAGTTTAGGTAAGTGTTTTCGGCAGCACGTAAGGACTATTACAAAATATTAAAAGTTTATAGTTTTCAAATTTGTATTGATTGGTATGAATTTCAGGTTTGAGAAGATATTATACAAACAATCAGCGATCCATTTACATACGTTCGCAAGAAAATAAATGCAATAAAAAAGTAATTATGTAAGTGTTTGGCTGAGCTAAATATTTTTTACACAATCTGTAGTGGGATCCTACAAGTGAAGTAACAGATGTGGCAAACTGTTATTTATTTAAGCGTTCTTCAACCAAATTCTGAAGTAGAGCGTTTTTGAAAGGGTTTTCGAGATAGGGCGTTTTCGAACCGGCTGTCGAGATAGGTCAATCTTCCACTCAGCCGTCGATATACGGTGACGAGAATGTGAATAGGGAAGACATATTTTAGCATGTTCTGGCTATTTTTCTTTCTTTAAAAAATATGTTTACTATTTTTTATGAAAATATAGCTTACTATCAAAACCAAACCTTGGAAATCAAAATTTCAAACTTGGTAGAACATTTAGAAAAATTGGACTAGTTTTAACAAATGTTCATCAAAATATGAAAATTTTTAAACCGATTTTTTTAATTTTTTTTTTTTGAGTGTGCAGTTTTGTAGCCTATTAAATTTATTATTATTAAATGAGCAACACCTTTCAGAAAAAAAAAAAATGGAAAAATCAACGGTAAATCCTAGCTACATAAAATTTATACTTTGTTTTACTAAAATTGAATGGGCTACAAAACTGTATACTCAGACAGTTTCTAAGATATCTGATTAAATGAATATTTATTGAATATTGCTAATTTTGGACAAAAATAGCCAAAAAATGCCATTTACATTTTCGCCACTGTAGAACTGAAACTACTTAATTACCCCAAATTACTGAACCGAAATCAATAGCGTTCACACTTACATACATTGAGGGTGTGGTATGTACATACTTGATTTGACAATAACAAATTGTGACATACCTTTAGGCACTATTTGTAAATTTGCTCAACAGTGGCGCCTAAATTAAATGACACATAATTTTTTTCTTAATTTCGATGAAATTAAAATTGATTTTCCTAAAAATTTGTCTAAGGCGATTAATTGATTCGATGTGAAATTAAAAATGAGCCCGTAATCAAGATAGTGTGCATACCCCATATTAAATTACATTTGTAAGTACTTCATCAGTCCTGGAATTAATTTCCCCGAAGCCGTTTCAACTGCAGTCAAAGTTGTAGCGCACCGAGTAAATGCGAGCAGAAACAATTCAACACCTACAACTAGACTTATCAACACCCGCCATTAATGGTTAAATAATGACTTTTGTAGCAATAAGTTAACGCCTCGACGCGGCACAGAATGTTGCATAAATTTATGTGTGTATTTAACGTCCATTCGCAGCAAAAGCCATTAGGGGTCCTACGTAGGAGCATTGCATTACTAGGAAAAAGAGGAGAGCGTGCTTTCTAGGTTAAAAAATGAATAGAAAATAAAAAAAAAACAACAGCAATTTCGTACGAAAGCGAAACTTATGTGGGCTGAAATGTTGCCAGCCAACCGCGTTTTAGTGACTAACACGCGTACTTATTTTGCGTTGGTGTACAAATGTCAGCAGTTCAGTAGCGACGTCATCGGAATGCTGGGTCTTTAGGATTGCGTTGTGAAGGGAATATGTTTGTCACGGAGATTCAAAGCTTCACTGACGTCACAGCGCATATACTGATTAAAGCTTTGCTAAATTATTTAGAAAAACCTCTGATTGCCTTTTTCCATTTGTTATAATTTTTTATTTACATACAAATTTTCTTTTTTTTTTTTTTTGAAATTCCAAGTAAGTAATTTAATTTACTTACTTACGCACAACGTAAAACGCAAAAATTAAAAAAAAAAACGCATTAAAGTTTGTTTATGTAGTTACAATGAAGTGCTGCCAAGCTTACACGCATATGCCATTAAGCCTCTGCTTTGAAACTTTTCAAAGGCTATTTTTAGGCGCAAACGCGCACGCATCTAACTTGTTTGCCTAAACGTCTAGAAGTTGATCACATTTCACTTTCAGCTTATGCGCTCCTACACAGCGACAAAAGTTTATATCTACATATTTGTGAATAAATACAGGCTACCGATAGAATAACTTGAAAATTTTATTATTAAATTAATTAAATTTTTCACCGCGCCTGTTCTTATGCTAGCGCTAAAAAGTCATAACTTGTCGCATACTTTTAGGCGTCTCATTTCAAGTGCTCCACTTCACGGATACTTGACACTGCAACAAGTGAGTAAGTTTACTTTTCACAATTTCGCTGTCGCCTTAAATATTTATTTGTCGCAAATAGTTGTCCCTGGTGAATTGTGAGAGCAGTGAAAGTAAACGAAAACTTTGCAAAAGCGGTGGAAAGCGATACACTTGTAAGAGTAAATAAATATTATTTTAGCGCTTCAAAAATCTTAAATCTCATTTCAACATAGTTACTTGTCAGCTTGTTGGGACGAGTTTGAAGAATTTTAAACAATTTATGCTAAGCTTAACTCAAAATATGGGAAGCGATTTGAAAGCTCACAGCTGCCTTACGTTTAGCATATGGAGACTTATACATAGTTGAGTGCTATTTGCCGTGCAGTATTTTTTTGATTATCCCCTAAAAATTTGAAGCCTTGATATCGCGCCCTAAACCAAAAACCGTCTCAATTCAAAATTTTTCAAAATTATTATTATTTTTTTTTCAGTTCACAAACCATATATCTAACGTCCACCAAAATTTATTCTTTATGACTATTGCCTTTAACTGGTAAAATACTATTAAAACTGTTTTTGTTTTGCTTGCGCCAACTGTGCAGCATCAACAGTTTTTTGCCTCTCCTGAACATTTGGGATTTTTAGAGCTGTAACTGTTTTTATTTAGGGGTGCGATATGTGATAAATAATTCAATAGACTCTATAACAAAGTCCGACATGAAAATTGTAGAGTAGATGAGGAGGCTTGGCTTGTGAATTCTAAAAATTTTGGATCGCTCAGGTTTTTTAAATATCCCAACCATATGCGAAAAAATTCTGTTTTTGCGGTTTAGAAAGAATTTTAAAGTTTGCTCGAATATCTTATTTTTCCACCGAGAAATTTTATTTCGAAAATTTGACACTACTGCGGTACATTTTTTCAAAGGCTATAAGCAAGGAGAAAATAGTGAAATTGCCCCAATTCAAATTTATCCCTGAACAAAAAAAAAAAAAATATCCGAGCAAACCTAACGGCCCGTGCTAGAGCAAGAGTTATACTTTAAAAAACAGTCGCGATGCTAAGTAACCCCGAAAATTACCAAAAGCGAATTATTAGGTTAGGATATCTGGGGACTGAGAGCAAGCTCGCATATAATCGAAAGTTGAAAATTTGTTGAATACTTTCTTTGGATGGTAGCTTGCGTGGCCTTCATAGTTACTTACTACGGTACAGTTAGCGCGTTTTGCGCTTTTTTGATGTACTTTCGTTGGAATACTAAATATCTAGATTTCTCGGGAAAACTATCTTTGCCGATGAATTTGCCGATGTCACCTATATTTAGTAGACCTGGGCATACACAGAGGTAATGCTGGTCACTTTCTCCGCTACTTTCTAGTTGATAGCGGCAGCAAGTTCTATTAAATGTCCTTGATCTATTAAGCAGATCTAGTGTATTCGCCCCATTATAGTCTGGCCGGAGTTGCCAGGAGAATGCAGACCCATTTCTTTGTGAACGACGCCGATGGGACATCCCAGTGCAGTGCAACAGCGGATTCCTCTAAGTGGGCTCCTGCCTTCGCTAATTCATCGGCTATTTCATTCCCTTCAATGTTTCTATGGCTGGGAGCCCAGATAAGAGAGACGCTTATTAGCGCAGACATTGAGCATAATTCTGTTTTATACTTCGGGCCTAGCTGGGGTTTAATGATCGGTTATGCTAGTGCTAACAGAGTTGCTTGGCTGTCAAAGTATATTGTTGCTTCCTTTATTCAACCAATGCCTTTGACTATAACCTTACAAACTTCAAAATGCCTAAGACTACCGCTTGGAAGATGTTTGTATCATTCTCTAGACGGGGAGGCAACGAGACGCTGAGTTCCTCGGCGTGCACACCTTCCTCCACACCACAGTCCATCTTTAAGCCCTCGGTGTAGATTGCCTATTTATCGGTCAATCTGCCCCTCCTCCACTCTCTTCTGGATGGGACCCACACTTATATGTTTTTGAAGCTGTCGTTTTCCGTCGTGTTTATATCGCGTTCCCGTGCCTCAATTAGCAAATTAATTAAGATAAAGTTTGAAGAAGTGCTTATAAGAAGTTGGCTCGATGGTTATGATCTCAATTAATGCTTTTTTAGTTTTAATTTTTGACGACAGCATGTGGGATTGCGATATATTTTAGCATGAGCGAAAGGCGATGTCATGTTGCATATTTTTCGGTTGCTGAATGACCTTAGAA